TATAAAAGGCACCTGCCTTGTCATTTTTGTCACCTAGGCAGGCGCCTAATCGCTGAGAAGGGCGCCTAGTCTCCGAGAAGGGCGCCTAGTTGCTAAAAGTCAAGGTGTTTGGGTGAGGCGTCCAACCAAGGGTGCCTAGTCACCTAGGCGACATTTCAACAATTTGGTTGGGAAAGAGTCTTGAAAAAAGAGGTACATGAAAAGGAACCTGAGGGGGAGGGGGTCCAAATACAGTCATCAGACTTGGAAGGGTCCAAGAACACACCTTCAAGGATTTTATCAAGCTGATCGCATTTGGAAGTTCAGCATCCTGTATTCCCTTCTGAATCCCAACTCCCAATTTAATGGTGAAGGAATAACGAATTTAGAGATCAGCACCCTCTTGAGAGGTACATGAAAAGGAACTTGAGGGGGAGGGGGTCCGAATACATTCATCAAACTTGGAAGGGAAGGGTCCAAGAACACACCTTCAAGGATTTTAATCAAGCTGATCGCATTTGGAAGTTCAGCATCCCGTATTTCTCTTCTGAATCCCAACTCCCAATTTAATGGTGAAGGAATAACGAATTTAGAGATCAAAACAACTTGATCCACCCAAAAAGGGAAGGGGAAGTGCAAAAAGGTGTTCCCAACTCCCAATTTGAGAGAGGAAAGTGCAAAAAGGGAAGGGAAAGAATCTTTCAAAACAACTTGACCCACCCAAAAGTGTTCCCAGAATTTAGTTTTATTTACCATAGACACATATTACACATCATACCTGATTAAAGGGAGAAACACAGTAAGTACCAAATGGATAGCCTCCCAAGGAGAAGCTTATGCAACTCTTGTAGTTATTCCAGCATCCTATCCGTTATCCTGCTGTCCATGAATACTGACCACTACTTTATGCCATAGCTTATCCCTCTCTTCCTGAAGCCTCCATAACCATTTACCCAACAACACTAAATTCCTCTATGTTTCCCACACCTAGCCCCCCTTGAACGTTATTCTTATGCATCAACTCCCAACTAACTAAATGGTCCTTTTTCCTTTCCCCAAGCTCCCATAAAAACTCTCTCATTATTTTTTTTTTCTATTATCTTGCCCACTTTTCTGGGAGCCTTGAAATTGAAAACCGACAGGTAGTAAACCAGATGATTGGCCAATGTGGACTTGATTAGGGTGATTCTACCAATGCAATTCCTCTTTTAAGCGGCAAGTCTCTTTGAGAATCTTTCTAAGATTGGATTCTAGAAACAAAGATCCTTAGGGCTAGTCCCAAAAGGTAATCCGTGAAATAGAGAAACCTACCATATCTGCATATTCCCTTAACTGTCTCCGTTCCAAATTAACCCCTGCTATGCAGCTTTATTCAAATTTCACTTTCAGATTAGAGATTTGTTCATATAATTGCACTCTGAATCTCAAATTCCTAATCGATTCCATGTTTCCCCCATCATAGAAAAAGGTGATATCATCTACAAATTGAAGATGAGTTATTACCACCTCATCCCTCCCAACTCTAGACTCTTTGATTAGATGCAGCCTATCTGCCCTAGATATCAATATACTAAACACGCCAGCAATAAGCTAGAACAAGGGGGGAAAGGGGGTCTCCTTGTCTCGGGCCTCTAATTGCAGGGAAGAAATCTACAACTGCCCAGTTCACCAAGATTGAGTAATAACAAGTTGTAAGCAGCCCTTTATCCACTTGTGCCAGTCTTCCTCAATCCCACATTGCTTATGCAACAAAAATTCCCAAACAACCAGATTGTAGGCTTTTCCAATATCTAGATTACAAATCAGTGCTTTTCTTCCAAACCTTTTCAAATCCTCCACACACCCATTTGCAATGAGAGGTATCTAAAGAGTTAACAAAGGATAATGTATAAATGAGTAAAAAGGTAGAGGTGGGTAAAATGATTGATAGAAAGGTTGAGATAGAAAAGTTGATGGGTGTGTGTCTACATTGTAATGAGAGGTATCTAAAGAGTTAACAAAAGGGGATGAACATTAGGAGGTATGTATGAATGAGGTAAGAAAAACGGGTAAAAAGGTAGAGGTGGGTAAAATGATTGATAGAAAGGTTGAGATAGAAAAGGTGATGTGTGTGTGTCATCTACATTGGGGGAGAAGGAGGCATCCAGAAGAATCCTTAAGAAGCTTGAGGAAAGAGAAAGGAAGATAATATGGAGGATGGACATGATAGAATAGTGGAATTTTGAGGTTGGTTGGGTCAGTGATTTAAAAGGTGCATCTCAGGGCACGACTAGGTGCATTTAAGGTATGCGTCTAGCCTAGGCCCCGCACACAGCATTTTGAAAAGGTGCATGCCTGGTGTGCCTTGTGCTTCAGCCCAGGCATGCGCTTTTTCAAAATCTGTGCATTTTGCTCTTTTTTTTTTTTAATTTTTTTACAAGCCTTGCGGATGGACCAGGGCTCTGCCCCTGGACCCCCAACCAAGTCCCTTGAGGCAAGGCCAAACAAGTCCATGTTAGGGTCTTAAGTTCTTAATCATTACAAAAAATAAAAAAAAGATTTTATGATTTTAATCATATTTTAAAAATACCTTTTATTAGGATGAATGAATGGCATTAGCAAATAGAGGATTCTACTCCACTCTGGTTTGCTCACTTTGCTTGCTCACATTATAAAATCAATCATTCATCCACATTAGCAAACAGGGGGTTCTACTCTGCTTCAATTCACTTGCTTCCCTTGCTCACATTTTGAGGTACGTGCCTCGCTTAGGGCCCAAGTGTAACATTTCTAGCAAGGGCTTTAAATGCATTTCTCTTGAAAAAAATTAAAAGAAACAAAAAAGAAAAAATGAATGATAAAGTAGAAAACTGAAAAGGCGTTTGCCAAGAATTCGGATTTGCTCCTCACACCAACCTCTCAGCAAGTTGCAGCTGTGCACTGGGAACATCTTCTCATGAGTGGCGAGTACAGGAGATGTTCCTAATGTGTGGCTGCAAGTGCTGTGAGGTTGGTGTCTGGAGCAAATCCAGATCCATTTGCCAATGTGAATGGTTTTGTTTTCTAAAACAAAAAACAACAGCCACATGAGAAAAAATGTATAGCTTTTGCTGACATGGCAATTGTTTTTGTTTTAGAAAACAAGACCATTCACATTGGCGAACACCACTTAAGTCTTGATCGAATTGATTTGAATTGCATGAGTTGCATACATTGTAAGATTTATGAATCAAATTCTAGGATTCAAACCATTGTTTTAAAAGCATAAGGTGCAAGGTGAGGCGTGCACCTTTTTGAATCAAGGCGCAAAAATACAAAAAATTGCTAAAAAATAAAAAAAAGTCAGAAAATTAAAAAAAAGCCAAAAAATTCAAAAAAAATATTAAACATAATATTAATAAGAAATATAGACTTAAATTTTAAAATTAATGTTTTAAAAGACCTATTATCTAAAATTAAAATGCATAAACATAATATGTAAAGCATATTCAAATGAGAATTTAAAAATAAAATCAAACATGTAAAACATTTTCAAGCATGTAAAGCCCACAATCTCTTTTTTCCTCAATTGCATTACTTCAAGTAGCTAATGTGATGTAAAAATATTACATTCCTGGTTCTACGAGCCACCTTTGTGCCACACCAGGGCCAAGGCGCAAGGCGCATCAGGTGCATGCCTAGGCGCACCAGGTGTGCGCCTTTTGAAGTGTTGCGCCTAGTACCTGGGTGAGGTGCCTACCCTCAAATGTGCCTCACCTGTCCACCTAGGCACGCCTGAGGCACCTTTTAAATCACTGATTCAAACAATAATCACAAGATAGAAAATGATCTATATTTGGTTTTAGAAAACAAAACCATTCACATTGGCGAAGACTCCCCAAGTCTTGATTAAATTGATTCGAATTGTGTGAATTTTATAAATTGGAAGATTCATGAATTAAATTATAGGATTTAAATCTTAGGATTTGTGATTGTCCTTTAACCAAACTAAAACACTTCACCACTCAATTATTAATGCTACTAACAAACTGATAAAGAGAAAAAGAAAAAATCTTCCTACTAACTTAACATAACAAGATGGGTTCCATAGAGAGGAATAGATAAAGGTCATCCCTCCATTAGAGGAGTTGGTTATAAAGTGGGATATGGGGTAAGGATGAGCTTTTGGCTATCTTACCAGGATGTAACAAGGACACTGCTTGATTTGGTATTAGATACAAAATGTACACTAAAAATTGAAGTACCTGACACAATACGACACCCTTGTACAGGTATCTAGGTATGATTGGATTTTTTTATTGGTATCCACATATCATAGGATTATGGTTGGTTCCTGGTGCAGCAACAGCCTTGATGAAGGTCTTTCCAGCTTTGTACAGGATTGCAGCTGATATTGATTGATAAGGATGTCTTGGTGCTGAACTATTTCAAAGTCAGAAATCAAGAAATCATTTAAACCCTAGTTTTGATCAAAACTAAAATGATTGGGAGGTGGACCTCACTGGTCTCCTTGGTGCAAAATTTACAATGACAAAATTGATCTAAATATGGTTAACATCTGAATATTTTAGAGGATCCTTAAGGTATGTTTTGAGACCTATGGAGGAGAATTGAATCGAAGCATAAAGAAACTTAGGATCTGATTCAGTTAGAAGTCAGAATGTTTTGAGGTTGCATCTTGGAGAGTAACAGAAAAGGTCTACTTTACAGAACTGGCGTGAAACATGATGCGATGATTGGTCACTAATGGTGCTTATTCCATTATCATTAACCCAACTCAACCTTTACAGAACTGGCGTTGTCTAGGTTATATCATAGATGAAGCTTGGCCTGAATTGTACACAGTTGAATCTAAGTTTTGAAATTATCATCTTTTCCCTTTTAGTACAGAATCAGATTTGCTAATTCTCGTTTTTCTTGTATTTATAAATTATTTTGGCCAGTTACAAGGAAAAACAAGTATAATTGCAGTGTCTTTATTATTTTGTTTAATGATTTTATTTGTACAAGTAACATACATGCTAAAACTCGTCACTTTTCAGGTCCTGAAAGTACAACAAAGAATTCAAGCTCTCCAAGCTGGAAAAGCAAAGGCTTAGCAGACCTTTATTATGGCTGTGTTCATTTTTGTTCTTTCCTCCCTCTTTGTATTTTCTCAAGTGTGTGCCTCGGTCAACAGTAATTTTTATTTCTAGAGTAGTGCCTCTCCTGTTCTCAAGTTAACATTAATGTAGTCTCAGGCTAGATTGGCTAGTTCTCGTCGGACGGTTCTGAACAGTTCATGCCTATTCTCTTCACTGTTACTTTTTGGGTTCTTTTTGTTTTTCTTTTTTTTTTTCTTATATGATGTGATTTTCATTAGATAATTGAATGTAATGGCATCAATATCATCGTCATCATCTAACCTTGTTCTGAGTAACAACTATATCGATTATGGAGTTGGCTACATCTACATGGATCGTGTTCAACCATTTCGTTCTGCTCAGTGCTATATTCATTGCTAAAAATTATGGGCCTTTGAATCATTTCTCACTACTTGCTTATCCAAAAAAAAAATCATTTCAGTTCTCACTGCTTAAGTCCATGTCATTTCTTGGTTCGTCCCTGTCTCTTCCATCCCTTGAACTTATAACAGATAGCTTATCAGTGGTGCTTTTGATGGTATTGACTGCACAAGCTTGAATCATCTTAATAAAAAGAATAAAAAGTGCAGCCGTACAGGGTCAAAATCTACAATTAGTATGCCATTTATTCTCAAGAAAAGTACGCTTACATGATATACATCATTCCAACTCCGATCCATGTTGAATTTTCATGGGGCAACATGACGAGGGTAAGGCCCCCCAACCTCGGTCATGGCAGGAGCCGATTTCAAATCTTCCACTACGACCAGCAAGACTGAGCCAGTCGGCACCTTCTGATTCATGTTCAGTTAAGTTCTATGAAAATCAGGTTATAAGGATTTATGTGCAACTACAAGGTGAATTGGATTGGTTTTACCGCATTATGGACAAGGTTCAAAGTATCGAGGCCGATACATATCGTGCTGGTGGCTTCTTAATACGCCCCTACAGGGGTTGTATTGGGTCAGACCATGGTTCAGAGGGTAGCTGGGACTTAAACTGATCCCTCTGAATCGGTTTTGAAAAAAAATAAATAAAACATAAAAAGCACCGATACAAACCGATACGCTTTATCGTCCATACTTTAAACTAATTGTTGACTAGTTATGGAGAACATTTGTCATATCCATTGGATAAGGGCGTTCCCAGTGTCAAAATTAGTGGCAGAATCATCTAGTGTGTTGACAATATGAGAATGGAGGGATGGCTCAATTGGTATTTGATGATGCACGATCTGGCAGCTCCCTATTGGCTGATGACTCAGAAGCCGAGCTGGAAAATTCCTTACTGGAAGGTGACTCGGATGCTAAGTTGAGTAAGGCCGAGATAGAAAATAGCTCAAATGTCGAGCTATATAACGGAGAGCTATGTAATTTTCTAGGAGACCTGTAGGGAAAAAATATTAGAGTGCCCGGGTTTCTTTACTCGGGGTGGGTAATCCAATGCTTAAGTCAACGAATTGGAGATTTTTGAGAGAATTAAAAGTGAGAGCTAGAGAGCTGTGAGAACTAAATTGCGCATACATTCTCTCAGGAAAATGATGTCTTTATATAGGTGTGAGGAATTAGAGACCTCCTGTAACGGGTCCTAGATTCCTGAAGAGCCATTTCCGCTAAGTTGGGAGAATATCTCCGTCGGTTACGTAATTTGCGTAGAGAGTTGAGGTCCATCCGATCAACTCTGATGCGGGTGATGTGGGTAAGTCGGCCTAATGGTCGAGCATTATTACTCTAGAGAACTTGGTCTTGATAACGGATCTATGTAATAGGTCGGCGAGCATGCCTTGTAGGTCGTCACTTATACCCTACTTAGCTCGGACGATCTCCAAAGGAGGTCGCTCCTTAAGGGGAGGTCCTTTAGGTCGGCTAGGCCAAGGTACTTTAGGTCGGACATAGGTGAGGTGCTACTAGCCGACTTGTTGGGGTGATCTGCTTACTCAATGTCGAGGTGTAACTTGGATGCCATGTGTCATGCTGTTATTTGGAGGTAGATCGCCAGGTCTCTAGTAGGTCTCCGGAGGTAGATCGTCAAGTCTCTAGTAGGTCTCTAGAGGTAGGTTGCCAGGTTGGCGGAGGTAGGTCTCTAGGTCTTTAGTAGGTCTCTAGAGGTAGGTCTCTAGGTCTCTCTAGTAGGTGTCTAGAGGTAGGTCGCCAAGTCTTCAGTAGGTATCTGGAAGTAGGTCGCTAGGTTATCAGTAGGTCTCTGGAGGTAGGTCTCCAGGTCTCCAATAGGTCTTTGGAGGTAGGTCTCCAGGTCTTTAGTAGGTCTCTAGAGGTAGGTCACCAGGTCAGCGGATGTAGGTCAACAGGTGGGACTCCATCATTTTGGCTAAGGCAAGTTATTGCCTTCGTGGTGCTAGGGTGTCATCCAACTATTTTTAAATGCTACGTGTCATGATGTCACTGGAGGGCCAAATCTCCCCTCATCAGTATTATTAGCTGAGTTGTTCCAATAGAGATGGGGATTCATATCCCACTACCACCAAATTGGGGGGTGGGGGGTTAGTGTGATGCTGCATTGCTCAAACGACCCTTATGGGGGATTTGGATGTATCACCAAATACCTAAAAGAAAAGATTGAGAATGGAAAGCTTTATTTTTTCCCGAAATATGCAGCTTCTCATAGGCTCTATAATGCAATTCATGGAATTATCAGGCATCAATCCTGGTTCTCTCATTTTAGAAAAGAGTTTTTAGAGCTTTACCATCTTCTGAATTAGAGACAAGAGCTTAGGTCTGCAATAATGGCATTCCGGTACATCTTGTTACCTCAAGAAAGCTCCTACAAGCATGACCAGTCATACGACTTATACCTGTACCGATATACATACAAGGTTCAAAGTACTGGTTACAAAGTATTTTTTATCATATCAGGATACGAGGGATATTCAAATAACTAAAAAATATCATATCAGGATACAAGGGATACAAAATATCAGTATCTTATATCATATCAGGATATTCAAATAACTACAAATAAGGTATAACATATAATAAATGTACACTTTAATAGTTTATACAAGGGATACATTACAATCAACAATACGAAGAGTATAGAAGATATTTCAATCTACTAACATAAATTATTTTAGTACCATGAATATCATTTAACACATATAAAATATATTATTTTTATAAATTTTATATTTTCCTAATTTTTTTAGGGAAAACCCATTAGTTTACTAATAGAATCTTAAAACACAAAATCTAACCAAAAGTTCAACAAAAATTGTTACATACTTATTTAATATTTTTATATAAATAATTCTATTTGTTTAAATAATTAATATGTTTTATTTACTTATTTATTATGAATTAAATTATTAATCAATATGTTATAGAAATACAATATTTTAATTTAAAATATATAATCATCATCATCATCCATTCCTTATCCCAACTAGAGGTGTAAATCGGGTCATGTTGGGTTGGCATGGCATGACCCGCATGTGGACTACAGGCCGAGGCGGGCCATGCTTCCCTCCCTTAGGATACTTTGAGGGGTCGACCCGGCACAACCCATGGCCCGAGCTTGTGCGGGCCCGTGCCGGGCCAAGGGCTTGGGTCGGGCGAGCTGTAGGCTGTGCCAAGCTAGGCTACGGGCTAGGCCTTAGGTGGGTCAAACAGGGCCAAATTGTTTTTTTTTTGCTTTTTACATTTTGTTTTTTTCTAAGTAAAACTAAAATACTTAACTTTCCTTTGGGCTTTGGGAACAAATTAGAAATATAAAAGTTCTAACAAAGAAATGAAAAAACACTCAACAAAATACAAAATAGACAATAAATTAAAAAAATAGGAATTTTATTTCATTTAAATTTGAACAATACAATGATCAATAGATCAATGAAATATGGAAAATGGAATAACAAATAAAAAAATATAATACAATTAAAAATTATAAATAAAAAATTACATTATTGAAAAAGTAACAAACAATTTAAATAAAATTAAAAACAAAATTTACAATAATTTTAAAAAATGCTACACAATTATTGAGTATACAAAAAATATTAACTTGATCATTTTTCTTCAAGTTCTACCAGCATCTCCATCTCCTTGACTTTGATCATTTGCTTCAGGTGAAACATCAGGTGCAATATCATGACCTCCTTTGTCTTGTAATCTATCATTAGCATTTAATCAATCTTTAAAGCAAATGCACATCTCTAAACTTTCATCATTCATGTAGATTCTCTTATTGTCTAGCACCCTAGTACTTGTACTAAAACAAGACTTCGATGGAACTGTAGACACTAGAGGGGTTAGTAGATCACGTGCCATGGTGGCAAGGATTGGATAATTTTTTCATGTCCACTCTACCAAGCTAAAATATCAAAATTATTCATTTCCTCCGAGTCAAAGGAATCACTTAAACTAGAAAAATTTGCTTGTAAATAAAAATTAAGTTCAATAAATAAGCTTGTTGATGAAGTGGTAGTAGATTTCTACCTCCTACTTATTAGAGACCAAACTCTTTCTTTTCCACTAATGGAACTAGTTATTTTAAAGTGGAAGTTGCACCTGTACAAGTTGCAAATTTCTTATGCCCTATCATTTGAGATTCATATAAGTTATACATTTCAAATAATAAACTAATAATTTTTTCTTTTTGATTTTGAATCCAATATTCATATTTTCACAATATGATTCAAGTAAAACATCTAAACTATCTTTCCTAATCATGTGATCCAATATTGTAGTTAAGCAATAAAGAGGAGAAATGTTCTCCCAATATTTTTAAAATTTATTTTCTACATTTCAACAATACTTTTAAATTCTGAATTTCTTCTATATTTTGCAAAACATTCACTAATCATAAATAATTGATTAACTAAAATACAACTAGTTGGGTAATAAACACTCAAAAATTCATTAGTTGCATCATAAAAAATTTGTAAAAAATCTTTTATACAAATTGTCATTTCCTAGTCTTCCTCAAATATTATCATGTGACATTTTTGCATTATTAAAATCAATAATAATTCGTTTGTAAGAAATACAACTTTCTAACATAAAATATGTAGAATTTCATCTATGTTGAACATCTAATACAAAATTTTCATAATTTAAACCATAATTTTGACATAAATATTTAAACTCTTGTTTTCTTGCTCTAGAACTTTTAAGTAAACTCTTGTTTTCTTGGTTTTAATATATCAAATATAAAATAATTTACCATTTAAACATGATTTTAATCAAGATTTTAAAATATTTATTGTTGAATCATTATTATTAGCATTATCAAAACTAATAGAAAAAAGTTTATTTTCAATTCCATAAGCATAAAGTATTTAAAATACTTGTAGAAAATGTTGGGCCAGTATATGGCC